CATGCATTTTTTATTCTTTCTGCGTCATCTGTTTGAGCGAGACTAACCTGGAGATCCCCACACAACAGTCTTTGTCTGGAAGACAAGTAACCTTGACGTTTTCCTAACAGTAACAGGTGTAGCTCCAGGGGTGGGGGGAGGTGAGCATGTGCCCCGAAATTAAATTGCAAAAAGGAATTAAAAGGGAAGTGGGGGGGGGGGCAGGAAGATGGAGAAAGGAGAGGGGGCAGATCATTTCACACTCTCACCCCACTAAAGGCTTGGTGTATTGACATATTTCAAGAACATGGAATGACTGACTGGAGCCCCCCCCCCCCCCCCCACCCCCTCATGGTGCCAGTGGCCCCTCTTTAGCTGCATCCATGCTACGCCATTGCACACATTTACTATTTTTATTTTCCTTGGGAAGTTTTTGGTGACTCATATATAGAACCAGGTCCTCAAAGCAATAAATAACAAAGCGAGTTCATAGCAGTTTATCATGTTAACTTAAAACATCATTTTTTATTTTTCTTGTTGGAGGGGGGGGGGGGGAATATTTTTATTGATATTACTTGTCCCTCTCTTTTGTTTGGAATTAAAAGAAAAAGTCGCGTGATATAGCCCGTTTCTTATTCCTTCTCTTTGTTTGAGATTGTTATGCCGTTTGGGGCAAATTTCCCATGCTTGATGCGTCCTTCATACTTTGTGCACTCATAACATAAAGAAACCTAAAATACACATATCTGTGAATCCCCAGTTGGTATCACCCGACACAGAAAACCGTGACCCTCTTTCATTAAAATGAAACTAAAATCAGGGCCATTGTGACATCATTCAACTGACAAAATTCAGCCATAAATTATGATATGGTATTACATTTTAGAAGATGATCTACTATAGCTCACAGGATGATTAAGAAGAAGTAATGATGATTTCAAACATGTGATGGCTGCCAAATAAATTAAAAAGGAAGTAATTTCTAATGATTTATAGTTTATCGATTTATTCAAGTTTTTATGAGAAGAGAAATTGAAACTAATGAAACTAAAATCAGTGCCATTGTGACATCATTCAACTGACGACAATATTCAGCCATAAATTATAATATATTATTACATTTTAGAAGATGATCTAGTATAGTTTAAAAGATGATTTAGTAGAATAAAGGATGATTTCAAACATGTGATGGCTACATTAAAAAGGAAGTGATTACTACAGATTTATAGTTTATTGTCTTAATATTCAAGTTTTTATGACAAGAGGAATTGAAACTAATGAAACTAAAATCAGTGCCATTGTGACATCATTCAACTGACGACAATATTCAGCCATAAATTATAATATATTATTATATTTTAGAAGATGATCTACTATAGCTAAAAAGATGGGAAAGGAAAGGATGATTTCAAACATGTGATGGCTGCCAAATACATTAAAAGGGAAGTAATATAGGAAGTTACAGTTCATTGTCTTATCTAAGTTTTAATGAGAAGAGGAATTTTTTAACAAAGCCCACAAGATTTTTAGAAAAAGAACTGGGTCTAGGTTCATGGACAGGTGTATTACAGCAAAATCAAGGAAAAAATCGTCCCGGAAATAGTTTTATAATTAATATGACATTATTTGCTGATTTGTGGGAAAGACTGTGATTTGGATTCCTGCCAAAATGCTAGTGTCTCTTTTGGATACTTTGCTGTTGATCCAACGTGAAGACCAATTTGCTCAAAAGGAAAGATTTATCATGAATATCAAATGACCTTCAGAGAACATAAAATAAACTGAACAATCAAAATTATACAATGCATAACAAACAGACCATAAAATATTCTTTTATGATTGGCTGCTCAAGAAGTGACAAAATGCCCAAACATGGTCACTAGTTAAATGGCTTGTGAATTTATGATGGTTTCTACTTTGTTTAGATATCAAGGGAAGTTTGATCTCTCCAGTCATAAAGGGTATTTTCTTTGATAAATTTAATTAGAGATTACTATGTAAAAGACAATTTACCGATCAATCTGATGTCATAAATAACAGATATCAAACACAGTTATGAAACTTTGAATCCATTAGGCAAAATGAAACTGAAATGAAAAAACCCAAGAGGTCAAGCTCATACTCTCTGTCTTATTGATTTAGGTCGATAAATATAAAGTATATTGATTTGCTTTGAACAATTTCTTTTAAATCTTCATGATTGAGAAGTATTGCATGAAATACAATAGTAGAAATCTTGTACATATCTCTGTTTATTTATTCCTTCTCATGTCTGTGTCGTTTATATGGCAGTCTCCTGCGATTTTCAATTTTGAAATGATTTGTTAACTGTGTTTTTTAAAGGTATAATTATGTAGTTGAAAGATATTATATGAGTTTAACTTTTTATAAGTATTATATATGTACCTAGTTTGCATATTACTTTCTATTATGTTGAAAAATGCAGATATAAATTAAAACAGGGAAAGATCCTGATCAAGAAGTATATTAAATTAATTGTTAATGCGAAGGTTGGGAGCTTATTTATGTTTACCAATAGCGAAGGAGTTGACCATCTGCTACTACCGGTATAAGAAAAAGGATGCTAGTCACATAGTTTCCTTTTCTCATCTTTTAAAGGAGTTGACCATCTGCTACTACCGGTAAGAGATAAAGAATGCTAGTCAAGTAGTTTCCTTTTCTCATCTTACAAAGGAGTTGACCATCTGCTACTATAAGATAAAGAATGCTAGTCACGTCGTTTCCTTTTCTCATCATTCCACCTTTATTGTAGTTCTTGTAAAATCATTTATAGGACCATGAGTAGGTCCATGATAGGACAGAGGCATCTAGTACTAAATCTGTCACATTTTAAGCGTTAGATCTGAATTCCTTACTTTCACATTGGATGACAAGGACACTGTATTTCTGAGCCAGAATGATGGTATATATTCTTTATTCTTATACATGTAGGTTCTCCATCATGTTACAGTGCACATGCAATATCCCTACAAAGTATCAAATATTCAATACAATAGTAATGAGCTGAGGCAATCTATTCTTTATCAAATTGTCACTTTTATACTGATAAAATAAGACAGGGTTCGTCTTTGATATACCTTATCTTGGCTTATTCCATACAAGATTATAGTTTCAGTATGTGAGTAGTTCATGCTTAAATACAGCACAGTAAAAAGGCACATCTCGTTCTACTGGTAAAGATAAGAATATATTCACAGTTTTACATACATGTAAGCAAAATATACATATTTCACAATTTGCATTGAATTCTAAGAACGAACATCAAATGCTAAAAAGTCCAGAAGACTTGAGAGAAACGATTGAAAGACATCTTTTTAAGATTATCCAGTCTCGACTCAGGGCTTCACACCAACAGACATCCGGTACACATCGGCTTTCCAAATTGGGACTCCAGACATCCCCCAACCCACCCCCTTTTGAAGAAAAAAATGTGATAATAATAATTAAAAGTTGAAACAGGGGGCACATGCATACAGATTCTAAAAAATTCAACCTTAACTTTTTGTAAAGAAGAAAAAAGTTAGTGTACGGCTCTGCTTTATTTGATCCCCAAATAATTGAACACTTCTACTATGTACACACTTTAAGTACCGGTAATCTTTCGGGGCTTCAATCGATCTCTAGTGAATTAATCTCTATTTGCGTAGGTATTTTTTTCAAATGATGTTTCTCATAAATGCTATTCTTACTATTGTGTCTAGGATTCACAGTTATACTCATAAATTATCCAACAAAAAAGCATACAGTATCTGTAAGTCAGTAAAAAATTGCTCAGAAATCTGATAAATATTGGTGAACTACGCAAACAAGAGTTTACCTTCCCGCAAAAAAATTCTCACCTTTGATCCGTTAACTGATTTCCTGTATTTGCGTAGACTTTGTGTTTACTCATAGATGCTAAATAAACTCTATGAAAAGCATAGTTTTCAAGAACGGACAAAATTACCAGAAATAAAAGTTAACATGGTTAGTCCTTAAATATTTGTTTTTCACATGTGTAATTTTTGTATTTGATTAATGTTATTTAACCTTGTTTTTTCCAATAACATTAGCCTATTATTTGCATGCAGTGACCTGTAAATGAAAAGCCCTATCCTATATGCAAAACAGATTTTAATATATCGCATTACAAATAAATATTTTATGAATAATACTTATACAGATGTTGTGTATTAAACCAATTTTGAATAGATACTTTAAAGCTACACAGTAGTCGGTGTCCATGTGTATTGCATCATAATTCGCTGACACCAGATTAAGTTGAATTCCCATTTAATGTGTCTGTGTGTGCAAAGGTATCTGAAGCAGCAAACCCATGGTCCCATCAGAAAATACCCCAACACACCTTCCTATCTGAAGGATGAGGAACATTTAATATTCATGTTAAGAATTCCTCATGGCGGTAGGCAAGGGCATAGTGCATTACACCAGACCTACTGGTCATAAAACTGAAGTCCACTCTTGGTGACTGACAACACCTGTTATTGGGTAAAAAACCTGAATGGTGTCAAATTACCCATGAAAACCCACTACTATGAGCCTTAAAAAATCATTTAATTGCTTGTTCGGGTCCCCTTTAAGAAAGGCAGATGGGACATTATATCAAAGACCAAAGGTGTCAGATAGTCCTGTTATTATCTGATATCGATAGCAGAGTATTAAATGGGGGGATTATAATAAACTATCCCCTGCAATACACAATCACTATTCAACAACCAAATTTCATACAATAGACTGTATGGTTGACCTAATTCACTAAATGTATTGTACATGTTAAATAGCCAGGTGCGAGCACCAAGCAGAAAATGTTTCGCCAAGTTCCTGTTTGGATCTTAATTTATTGTATATAAAAGGTACAGCTGCTCACAGCAAATTGAACATGTTGTGCAAGCGTCAGGTTTAGATTCCCCCCGTTGCAACAGAATGGCATGAAAAGATCTTTCATTTCACAATGATTATGATGTTAACTCCACATAGAATCTATCTTCTTTTATTTGTCCCTAATCGTAGTCGTATTGAGAATTAGTGGTAGATGAAGCTGTAACCGGTTGTTTACTAAATTTCAGAATATGCCGCTTTAAAACTTATTCAAGACTCATTACATAAAAATGAAATTTTCTCCAGCTTGGAAGAGATGAGCACATGAATACAGAAAAACATCAATAGAGATTCAGATCTATGTCAGAACTAAGATCACTATTCCCTTGCCGTGCTGCATTCAAATAAGAAATACTATAAAAAAAAAAAAAAGGATCCAGGATGAAGCACCAAGGCTACAAACTGATTTTAAAAAGATGACCATGGTTCATTTGTTCTGTCAGACACAAAACATCAGAGAGCCTTATTAGGAGCTCATATTTCATCTTCACAATATGGTCAATCCCACTCTTAGGGTAGGGTATGCCTTGATGATTCAAAGAAAACATTTGACAAGAGCCAGAAAGGCATTAGCGCAAACCTTTAACACAAGAGTTAACCCATTGCCTATAGGAACTGGGTGGTGCATGTATTAAGCATATGGGAATTAGAGAATTTAGAAGTAAGGGGGTTAATACCTTGAATCAACACCCTCACCGTTCTGGCTTTTACAGGCAAAATACCCTAATGGCTGCAAAATTGTAATTGAATCAAAACACCAGTCTACCACCTCTCCACTTCTTTTCTCCCCAAACGAAAAAAAAAGGTAGATGCTCTATGACTGTTATTCTCATTTTGTGAGAATACCAGTACCCAAAGTTCAGACCTAAATGTGAAGATCTTTTAGAACAAGGCTCAATCGTATATTACCCATGACTTTGTCTTGATCAGATTGTGAAGTGTGCTGCACATTTTTCATGACACGCTTTATAGGGCATTAAAAACAAGTTGTGACATGTGTACATGTATCTCATCTGAGGGTGGATTCTATGACAGGCTCTTGTGGTGTTCAGTTCAGTGACACTTCATAAACAATTGTAGTTGTTCTGAAGTCATTTGTGATTTTAAAGTAAAAACCCAACAAAATTATTAAAAAGAACATAATAAAATGAAAAGTAATATCTTTTCTCATGAAAGATATACTCTCCCTGTTGAACATAAAACAGTACTAAGTTAAAGAGGATAATATATACCTACTAGTTGTATCAAAAATGTCATACTGGACACTTAAATCACAGTGACAAACCTTCATTTCAGAGAGAGTAAGATTAGCAAATTAAGTAGTTTTGTACATTATGAGAAATATAAAACATATCTAGATAAATACACCAATCATACATTAAATGCCTACTATCATTTCCTTCGTTATTGCACTCCTATTAGAATGATATTTACAGTTAATCTAGTCTAGACTAACACCTAGGTGATCTTCAATTACACTGAGATATCAAAATGCAAGAGGACACTCTCCATCACTTATTACTTTACGGCCTCAATGATTTTGACTGGAAGAACTGAATGATGAAAATGAGATCTTTACAAATGAGAATGAAATAGTTCTAGTGATGTTGAGTGTGTACAGGAAGGAAAATATCACAGGAAAGGTTGTGATGATTCCCAGAGAAACTTGGTGTGGCAAGTTAAAGTTTCACAGAGATACACAATAGTGATTGACATCAAAGTCAAACTTTCTCCGAGGCAAATGCAGTGTTCCATCAATAGGCACTGTCAGTCTCCTAGTTCAAAATGAATTCTGCGACTATGCAATCACATTTCAAGTTCCTCTACGGTCTCCGCGTCGCTCTCTGGTATCTCACCACCCCCCTCCTGCTCTAACAAACTCTGTCCTCCTAGAAACCTTGCAAGGGGTGTGGCCAAAAAGGACCTTCGATCCCCACCTAGAAACTCCAGATCGCTGATGGAGTAGGGGAAGGCGGAGGTGAGCGCCTCATGGTTCCGTTTCAAGTCATCTTGAGAGGTGAAAAACAACCTGCTCTTTCGCTTGGGCTTCGTAGGAGGCGCGGCTACGGATTCCTTGGAGACCTTCAGGTTCTCCAGGGTCTCTCTGAGTTGCTGTATCTCATCCACCAGCCGACATTGTTGCTGGTAGATTGCGGGACTTCCCCCTCCCACCGTGTGGACACTCGGCACCCACCGCAGGTAACAATGATTCCATAAGGTGATCGTCGGCGTCTGCAGTAACGGTATGATGATCTCCTCCTCGCAATTGGCAAACACACTACTCGCCGAGTTGGCACCGTTCACATTAGGATTCTTCCTTCTCTTCCCGCCATTGAATGTCCAGCTGTCCATCTCCTTGAAGTCGGAGCCGATGTACGACTTGCCATTGTTCAACCTGCGGATGCTGCGGTAGATACCGGCATTGCATCCCTGCCTATAGTCAGGCTCGTCGTCCAAGAGGTCGTTGTACTTGAGCTCAGACTTGGCAATGTAGAGAGGGTTGGTGAAGAGCGCCTGGTCGTCTTTGGTGAACTGTAGCGTCCAGGCCCATACAGTGGCCAGCTGGGTGGTCTGGTACTGGCCCTTGCTGCTACTGACGCAGGTCCTCATCCGATGGCGCTCGCTGTTGAACAGGAATGTACCAAAGATGCCTGAGTGCATGCTGTCCCAGAGGGCTATCAGGAAGGTGTCCGTGAACTCAAAGGCCGATGGGAACTGCTCTATCAGCTGGTGGACACAGTCAAGGAATAGCAGGAAGATCGGGGACTGGTGAAGAAAATAATGAAAGATGAAGAAAGGTTAGAAAAAGAGCTCTTTAATGTCATTCTAGTATCAAATGGAGCCTGAACAAATCATACATGCAGATTCTACCAGCATTTTTTAAATCTTAAAAGCAACTTATTCATAATAATTTAAAAGCAACTAAAGAATGTGTTTCAATGGCAATAAAAGCTATTGCACTACACACTTTTTAATCAAAATATATATGAATTACAGCACACAAGACTATATATTCATGAGTGATGTATAGTTAGCGCTCCTCTCACCTGTTAGGTAATAAACCCTCTTAATCCCCAAACTACCAAATTGACCATGAAATGACTGCACATCATCATAATCTCAACCATTGAGGATGGTGTCCGTTTACTGTCAGTTATACATGGACACATGTCTATTATCTGCGTTATGAGCCTTTTAGCAGTTTGGGTTGATGACAATTGTTTAGGTATATCTGGTCTTTTGAATAAGCTTGAAAGGTCCTACATCTACAACATGTTGGGGGCTTGTCAGGTATCAGTCCGGGTCTAATGGGTGACAGTTCCGCAAAAGAAAGTGAAATTGATCATCTTTTTTTGGTCTATAGTTAATCTCTTGTTGGGTTTGTCAGAGTGACTGGGATATAAAATTGACAATACAGTGTAATGAGTTGGGTATCCTGCAATCCTACCTCTGTTCCGCTGCTGGGGACACAGTGTCCACAGCGGTCAAGGAACGGGTGACCGGCTACTATCCATTCCTTCTGTAACAGGCTCTGGAAGCCCAGCTGACTGCGGTAGTGACTGTCTAGCATGATCTGGGAGAGGCTTGCCACTACACACGAGTAATCTCTACCCTGTGATTCTGTACATGGTGGAATCAAGTAGAAAACAGAGAAAAAACAATATTAATACCAACAATATCAAGAATATTAATAGTGGGTTCTTGTCTGTCTGACTTGACACTCCTGACCTGGCGCTTCACAATTATATACCTCGGCTTTAACACGGCTGCTATTAAGGCACTCTAGCATTTCAAGGAATTAATTCCTGCCAGGTACCCATTTACCTCATCTGGGTGGAATGTGGCAAATGTAGATTGATGTCTTGCCATAAAAGACATTACCAATAGTCCTCTTTTTCAAAGTGTATCTTTGTCAGATTCTTTATTATTTGGTGTGCTTTGTTTTCTCATTATTGGTTGTTTGTTTCTAATTGGCACCAGGTAGGATAGTAAATATCTTAATTCATAAAGGAGAATCAAAATGTTGGCGGAAATAGAAATCCATTAGGCTATTAAACATAATCAGATAATTAAACTGCATTAAACTGATATGGTATTAGTATTCATTACAGTTAAACATTTTCAGTCCCCAGACCTTAATTAAAGTAGAATAACCATGCTGGCATATTTATCAATTGGTTTCATCGCACTTTATCTAAGAATAAGTTTTCAATCAGTTTAAATAAGGAATACCTAAACCACTTTTATCCATGGCTTGCAAACCTTGCCTGAGGGCATTCCCACCTCTCCTGGGACCCTTTTTAGGCCTGTCTTCATCAGCTCGAGATTGCCAAATATCCCGCTATTTCAACTATCCCGATCGCATATTATCCAGTCAATTTGCATCTTCATCAGCCCGAAGTTGCAATTAGCGGGATATTTGGTCGAGATGATCATCCCAAGATATCTTGGGCTAGTTTGCAAAATATCCCGCTATCTGTCCGGTGCGTCTTCACCAGCCCGAAGACTCGCACTAGCGCAAACGCTGAGGAAAATATCTCGAGCTAATTTCCAGAGCTCGAGTTTGAAGTTTTGAAGTCGAGTCTCGAGCTGATGAAGACGCGATTTGTAACTTTGGGATAGCGGGCTATTTGGCAATCTCGAGCTGATGAGGACATACCTCATGAAGCTCAACTCCCGAGGCGAGGGCATGGTTGACAGGAAGGAGAGAGAAAAGAGGGAATATATCGAGAGGGGACAGGAAATTCTAGAGGAGTTTTGACCATGATAGGATGGAGAGTGACCTTAATCCTTTAATAGGGAGATTCTTACCCTGCATTTCATCTAGTAATAATTACCCTTCCTAGGGGAAAAGTGTTTAGAGTGCCACTCCCTTTCAATAATATAAAGAGGTATCTCTCTTTCACTCTTCTTCTTATAAATCCATGTTGCATAGACTTAATTGTTGGTTAATCATTTTGCCACAATTCTAACAAATAATGCATCTGTAGGATTGTGTCCTGTTGTGAAGAAAGGTTACACAACATTTCATCTTTACATATTAGTAACCCGTCTAAAAAAAGTATAAGTTGGTACCCAATTCTTCGTTATAAAATAATGGATACCTCTGTCAGATTTGATTGTACCGGTTAAATCTAAGCACCTGTGTGCTTGGGGTTTGATACTAATGCAATTTACAATTATGGAAATTTTTCTTTAAAGCCCAGATAATATGTAAATTAGTGTACCTTCTCCGTAGTCGAAAACAACAACAAAAACAACAACAACTTTGGAATATACAACTACAAATAGTTGTTATGCTCTTAATGTTGAATACAGTATCTACATGGATGCAAATGTAAGATTACAAATTCTATCGGTTAGTCCAGATAAATTTTATGTCCGTTGGCCTCATAAAGCGGCCATTTTTTTAATGAAATAAGACCAATAAATGGCGAACAACCACCCCTGTTGCAAGACCTACATTTTTAATAAGGCTTTCAACAGCCGGTGAAAAGAAGTACTAAAAGGAAATCTAAAAGTATTTTTCATACATATCATCTACATGTTGAGTGTAAACAGGATTTCAATTCCATTTCCTTTTCCGTCTTGCTTCCACATTTCAATCACCATTCCTGCCCCACTGACGTAGAAGCCCACTTTGCTGGGGATCATATTTCAAAATAAATTTATTCCAAGCCTTTACCCGTATCGTGATTCTGCCTATTAAAAGAAGTCTGGTTCTTGAGATTAAGGACAGGTTGGACTATAATGTACACAAAAATAATTTTCTATGCTAAATACGTCTCTGAATGCTTGACACAATAAGTTTCTCCAATAGTAATATCCTTTCATATGTTTGTGTAAAGATATAAAGATATATGCCCTTGATGAGGACAATCTTTGTGTACCTTAACAATTTCTATGTTAAAAAACAAAGATTATCTTCTGCAAATGTAGTACTAATGTACAACAAAACTGTTGGTGTAAAAAAGCACCCAGTAAGGTGGAGGTAGGGTTAGTAAATCTTTCCCTGCAGTACTTGATGGTTTGCTTGTCTTACCAACTGCTAATGATGCATGTGTATGCTTGTAAGTAAGCAACCAGGGGACCTGGGACAGCTTTAAATCCTCTCCAGGGGACTTGATAATGAGGACTGGCTATGCCTTGCCAAAGGGCACTAGTGCATCAACTTGGTCTCCAATCTGAGACCTCCCAGTTATGAGACACCAACACTCCCATTTAGCAAACGCATCTCCACAAATAATCAAATGTACAATTAAAAACTTGATAAAACGGCACGCCCAGTCAGATGCCATGTACATACAAACAATTTTCTAAAACAAACATGGTTTTACACTTAAAGATAAGATTAAAGATCTCTTCTGGCTTCCGGCACAAACAGCAGGTTATATCTTTTAGAATAAGCACCTTATGTTTACAAAGGTTTTCTACAAATTCAGTTAAAGCCGAGGGTGGGTCTAAGATTGTATTGAACAAAGGAAAACATTGATCCATGACTATTAACCTCCTTTGTTAAACATGGGTTTTATCAAAAGCTTAAGCATTGGGTTTGAATTTTAGTTGAAAACAGGTCACAGACTGTATAATCTATGTAAATAAGCATGATTGTACAAAGGGCACATGAATGTATTAGATATGAAAATCTAAATCTAATCTGCTATTAAAAGGACAACAGTTTTGTTATATATACCTTTAATGATGACGGTCTTCTCTGCAATGTAGATTCTGTCAGCTGCTTCCTTAGCTAGACTGAGGCATGTTCTGTAGAATTAAAACAAAATTGAAGATGGAGAGGAATCAATAAAATGCAATAGAAATATATCATTAAACTTCCAATGACATACATGAAGCAGGATTAGGATAAGAAGAGACTTTCTCTCTAGGTTTTAAAACAAAATCTGCTGTCTCTGAATTTTCTGTTTCCAAACAATTCAAGTACTCCAAAAGATGGATTACCCTTTAGAATTCTTAATATTTGAGAACACACCTTTAACGATGCACCTATATTCATCTTTCCATTTTTTATGAATACTTATTTCATGTGTGAAACCTTTTTTTCACTGATACACCTGACAGAGGCTTCAGTGACAGAGCAACAGTACATATGCAAACTAATGTTCCAAGGTAAAAAATAAATAAAAAAAAAAAAAAGGAAAAAAGGAAATGGGTTGATGGAAGAGATCAACAAAACAATGGGACAAGAAGGAGAGAACAAGAAATCACAGATGTAAACTATTTACTCATTCTTGCACAAAATTTGCAATGGTCTTGTGTCTGGTCGTTGAGACATTGTAAAGTTTAAAATTACAAGCTGAACCCATGGTCAATTGATATATTAAGACAAATTATCATTTGATTTGAAAATCATTGCAGTGACCGTCTATCACATACTCAGCATCCCTTTAAATATCAAACCAATAGTTTTTTTTCCAAATAAAAAGCCATTAGCTGAATATGTCACTACAGTGTGTACTCAACAGATGTGTTAACAACAGGAACTGGGTAATTACAATGCGAACATTGGGGCTCACATCTTCCTCATGAACAAACTGAATTTCAAAACATTGACAACTTCCACTCAGCAAATATTTTGAGGAATCATGCAAGGATCAATTACAAACAGTCATCTAGGTATTTATTTCCTGTGTTTATGGCACGTGTCAAAGGGATTTGAAGATTAGCGAAAGGAGTACAATACATTGCAGGATATCTCTTAGAGAAGAGGAGAGAAAATCAGGGTTTTTTTTCACCAGAATGGCAACATTATGAAGTTTTAAGATTGGATATTAATGCTCCTCATTTTTTTAACAGCATCCAAAAACTATTAGATTTCTCTGATATGAGTTGATATCATCAGGATGTATAGTTTTTTGTTTAGGATTTGAAGAGAAAAAATAAAATAATAAAAAACTCAAATTACCTTGTTGAATCTGCATTTGTAAATTACATTTTTCCTTTTCATTATCCCTTTATTTTAACACATCCTGTGTTAATTTCTTTAAGCATTATAATTAAGCAGTTTTGTTGGAATTTGCCTTCTTTCAAAATTTGTATTTTGGATGATGCAATAGGACTGTTCTGTAAAACAGGCAAATGAATGAATGAATGAACTGCTACCTAACATACAATTACCACTTGATCTTTGATAATAGATAAATCTTGAAAATATATTTCTGGGAATTTGTGACCTATTTTAATTTTCCTACTATACAGTACTGTACTTTATTTTAAATGTCTCTGATGGCCTTGTAAACTTTGAAACTTCCGGATCTGAAATGAGCTCATAAAACTGACAAACTACTGGGACGTGAAAAACAACTACATATTCCTCATTCATATAAAAGTTCTTAATAGTTGCACCTTGAGCACTTGATTGTCAAGTGGATTTCCCGCCTTATAAATCTCATGTTTTATTATTATTATTATTAATAATCAATCATTTGGCAAATGTCAACATCACCCCAAAATCAAAGTTACAGGTGCACATACTAATGTTTATCACAAGTAAACAAGTACCACTCAGGTATGGAATGGGGTATACAAATTCCTCTAAAAAAACTTGGAATCATTGGTGCAATCTTTCACTGGGGATTTTCTGAATAAATATGCAAGATATGAAATACCCCCAAAGAAAGGGGTTTTCACGTTCTGTTCGTTGTATTCAATGAATTATAATATTGACTCAAACTTCCTTGCTCAGAATGTCATTATGACTATAAAAGGCCCTGTTTGCAAACGATCTGGTATTGGTAAACTGCCAAAAAAAAATCATGGTGGCAAAATAGACTACCGGTAGCACTTTTAAAGGTAATACAAAGTTTTGGTATGGGGTCATGAATTTGGTTCAAATGAACATATTGGAAGCATATGCGATCCTACAATATTCAGTGATCGTTGTCCCAGTTGAAATCGAGTCTAAAGTGATGAAATTGTAAATGATAAACTCTTTATGTTGTATAGCGCCCTCTCAAGGTCAATATATTAATTTAGCTATCAAACAATGTTATTTGACTAAAATCGACCGATTTGCTATTACCGTTTGGAATATAAATATCACAACTGCATATTCTGAGATTTTCATGGTCGCAACTACCATCGTATGGCCGTAGACGCTATTATAAATTTATCAAAATTTACCGGGAGCACCGGTATATTTTTATATTCAATTTTTCTTGAAAGCAGAAGTGTTTTAGACGCTAAATTTGTTGGTGCTTATAATACATCCATAGGGGCATCCAAATATATCAATATTATAAAGAATCACTATCCACCCAATTTTCAAAATTTACCAAAACTTTGTAATACCTTTAAAGCTGCACATTTCTGTATTTCATGACACACAGATGCCCATGTTTGGTCTACCGTTTAATAGGAGTCTTTGTTGCATGCAGATTCATCTCCACTTCCCATCTATCTCAAATAAGGGAGTTTACAGATACAATCTGGGCATGGGCAGATATAGGTCATTTGTACCAAAAAGGTAAAACCCACAGAGATGAATATTGGATATGCGCTCATGAAAGTTATGTAACATTATTCATTTATGCACCAACGGTACATTCTATGATACGCAGGTGGAAGTATTCTTTTGAAGAGGGCAAACAAAAGGTATTCATGAAGCGCATCTAGGACATTGGCAGTTATTATTCTAAGATGCTCAAAGTGGAACTTCTCTCTGTGTAAAAGATCTGTGGATATTTGGGGTCATTTGTACCATGTGCTATCTGTAAACTCCCTTATTAAAATGTCTTCATTTTGCTAGAAGCAATCAAGCATGTAAACAAAGTGTCACAAGAAGACAGCCAGCTAAGTAATTCTATCAATCATTAAAACATCATCTCCACTTCTTATTCTGTGGCCTTTTTCTCCTTTTATTTTTGTTGCCAATTAATTGCATCATGTCTAAATGACGCACACATGTCATGGAACTGTCTCTGAAGGCAATCAAGCATGTAAACAAAGTGTCACAAGAAGACAGCCAGCTAGGTAATTCTATCAATCATTAAAACACCATCTTCACTTCTTATTCTGTGGCCATTTCTTTTATTTTTGTTGCCAATTTATTGCATCATGTCTATGATGCACAAACAAACGTCATGGAACTGTCGCTGGAGAAAATCAAGCATGTAAAACAAAGTATGACAGGTATTACAGAAAGGAAGACAGCCAGTTAGGTAATTCTTTCAATCATTAAAACAAGGTTTGATGCAACGATGTCTGCAATTGATAGCTTCCTTTCTTCACTAATTTACAAACAGTTCTTCCTCCAATCTACGGCTAGAATTCAACTTTGTTTTGAAATATTTGAAAGAAGATGTGGAAATGAAGTTAATCAAGTGACTAGACCCTGTACAAACAACCACAGGCAGGGGGGCTTCAGAGGTTCCCATCCATCCTATGAAACAGACACCTATCAATCATCTTCAGGATCTTTAGGGAACCCTTATCACTTAAGATTCTGCTTATATCTACAGTTAAAAACTGAATTATTTATACTCCTTGTAAGTTCAATGTTGTTGTTTTTGTAAGGTGGACTGGTTGAATTAGGGACTTTGTTGAATACTTTTACCGGTAGATGTAAGCCTTTATATGTCACATTCTCAAAAACATGATTGGGGACAAATCAACTTTTCACATACTTTCACATACGATTAAAAAACTTGGTCAGGGTAAACATGATTTTGTTGACTGTATGTTCATGTCCAATTAAAAAACTTGGTCAGGGTAAACATAATTTTGTTGACTGTATGTTCATGTCCAATTAAAAAACTTGGTCAGGGTAAACATAATTTTGTTGACTGTATGTTCATGTCCAAGCATACATATACATTGACAGAGACTGTGACATCATAAATGTCCGCTCTGTAGCTTTATATTACAGAAGATATTTCAATAATAGAATACAAAGCACTTCAAAACTCCTTTTCAATAAAAAATAACAAAACAGCTACCAGGTACACTTATATTTCCCACATACCGAACTCACCCACGGGATGCTCAAGGTGCCTAAAAATGTAACCATTACCCTAAATTATTAAGCTAAGCTGTCCTAATGTGTTGAAAGTATACAAATAATTAAATATTGGATTCCATCAAGTAACTCTACTTCAATTTTAATACTACGAGTCAAATACCAATATTCTAGTATTATCAAGTGCATATTCATGTACCGGTAGATTAAATATTCTGAAAATCCCCACAAAAACACTTAAATAAACAGGACAAGGTAGACCATGGTTAAAATCTGATTTACTCGGAACTAAAATGGTGCCTGTAGCAGGCAGTCAAAAGGTATGTCTTCATCAGCTCAAGATTGCCAAATAGCCTGCTATTTCTGATTTGGGAAATAAGCCCAAAGTTCTTCATCAGTCTTCATCAGCTCGAGACTCGACCTCAAAACTCAAAACTCAAGATATTTTGCTCAGCCTTCGCGCATGGTGCGAGTCTTCGGGCTGGTGAAGGCGCACCGGACAAATAGCGGGATATTTTGCAAACTAGCCAAAGATATCTCGGGATTACAAGTCCATTTTAAGAAATGGTCTATCAAGTTTAACTGAAATTTAGGAGTAGTCTTGCAAAGCTCTGTTGTCATTAACATCTTCATTGGCTTTTTGAACTGTAAACTTGCCCTCTGGGAAAGTATATGAGTGTGAGTGTGTGTGTGCGCGTGTGTGTGTGTGTGTGCGTGTTTATGGGTGCATGAGTGCGTGCCTGTTTTGTAGTTTTAAGATGATATTATATTTTATATTGCTGCTTTTACTCTGTTAATTTTTCAGAAAAAACAATAAAAACAGAAAGAAAAAAAAGAAAAAAAAGATATCTCGGGATGATTATCTCAACCAAATATCCCGCTAATTGCAACTGCAGGCTGATGAAGACGCAAATTAGCTGGATAGTTTGCGATCAGGACAGTTAAAATAGCGGGTTATTTGGCAATCTCAAGCTGATGAAAACAGGCCTAGACAGACATCATAAATTTGAGAGCTGTCAGAAGTCAGGGGGAGAAGGCTTCCTTCCCAAACTCAGCTTGTCTAAATGTCAAACTCGAAGGCCAGGAAACACTTAATCCATTGACTAGACCAATTACATTAAGAAGAGCCAGAAAGGGGCGCTGAGTCCATGCAGCAAAACATTCCACTTACTATCTGACAGGGATGTTGTTATTGTTGTTGTTTTGATGCCAAGTCATCGTGAGAACAAACAGTCGGAACATGAAATCATTTAAAGCTCAGAAATGGGGGGTTCCAAACAAAAAGCGGAGGGGGAGGGGTGGTATTATATTATGAACAAAGAAAGGTAAACATTTTTCTTCTCTTTGCAAGTTATGCAATGCATACATTCAGTGTTCTTGAATGAAAAAAAAGCTTTCGTCTATGTATCCTCAGCACTCGGACTATCTTATGTTCTTACATTGACCTTTTTACTCTTTGTTATCACTGTTAAGGCTATTACATGTCTGTTGTGGAAGTAATGACTTAACCATGTACATTTGCATAACATATTCCATCATCAAGCTGCAAGATACATTTATAGAGGTAGAGGGCAAACCTATTCCCAACTTCAAATTTCATGTCTAATGGGAATATCTGCACTTTGTTTTTTATTTTATTTTGTTTTGAAGTGTATAAAATAAATCTCAAGATACACTCGTCTTTCAAATCTTGAATACTGATTTCCATTACAATTCCATTCCCGAGATAAAAGTGGTATCATATTTCTATACAAAAGTCCTATTTTTAACCCTTCATATTCCATAATCATACCCCTAATTTAAATAGGTTTGGCAGAGCCTATCTTGGGTGCTATGCCTCATGCATGAGAGGAAATGATATACGCCCGTTTCACCTAGACTGATTAATGAAGCATGTCAACGCTCTAAACTGCTCAAGTTTTCCTCATTATCAGAGAGAGAGAGAGACAAGGGAATCAAAGGCAACACATAAGGAAGGACTAAAGGAGGAGTGTATTTTTGCAAGCACATCTGTAAACAATCTACATGTATATAAGGGACTGAATTCAAGGGTATATCTTTTTTGAAGAAAATACATGAAGCACTTTTGGATTACATTTATTTCCCATGTTCCCCTATTTGGTTGTAGGACACATGCTCCTGTGACAATCGTTTCATGGTCAATGGCCAAATTCTCAACTTAAATCATGGACCCAACACTACACCTAACCCTAAACCTAACACTAACCTTAAACCCAACTGCAACCCTCAGGCTTACTCTATACTTTTGATGAAAAAAATCTGGAGCAACTTTCCCCTGAGCATATGTCAGATCACCCCCTCCCCCTTCAAGAAGGTTGTCTATAGATGTACATGCAATCATCTGTGTTAGTAATTGCCATATGCCCTCAGGGTGACCATATAGTAGGAATACTCCCCAGGGAGTGGAGATGGTGCACATTGTGCCTGAATGAATCTGATGACAGGGGTAATAATATCTGTAAGCACTTAGAGACGGTATTTCGTATTTATCTCTTTATAAACCCAGACTATTTTTAGTAAGGAAGTGTTTTATAGATGATCTCATATCTTATTCTTACCCCTCCCTTCTCCTCCCATAGCATACTATACCTAATAGCCTCTCACATCTTTCTTTTTCTTTCTTTCTTTCAAAATCACGGTACTGTGGAAGACGTTATGATTCATGGGGTGACTGACTTAGAGTACAGTAGCCAATGACATCACCTCTGCTGGGGTTTATTCACAGATCATCGAGAAAGAGATTTTAGCTCATGGATCATTGACAGAGACGTAGAGAATAGTGCCAGAAAGAATGCGAGAGAGAGGAAATGCAAAGAGATATATGCAGAAACAAGTAGAAAAGATCATCAAGAAAACGGTGAATATAACTTGTGGAGCAAAAGACTTTGGAAAGAGAAGAGTAAGAAGACAGACAAACAAACAAAGCAAAACAAAAAAAAGTAAGAGAAATGGTAAAAGATACCAAAAAGTAAATAAAAGTCAGGCAAAAGAGGGGCAAAGCACCTAAACATCAGTACTTAACATTAAAGGTATGTAATACAGATGATAATCAAAAGCCCTTATAAATATCAGTGCAATAAATAAAGGAAAAGTGTAATAATTATTTTGCTATGTTGTTGCAAATGCTTTAAGTTTTCGTCAAAAAGGTTGTTTTCTTCTTCTCAAAAGGATGACTACGGACAATGAATGGTAAAAAAATTGTTCAAGGTCCGTCATAGAAAACAAGAAGTAACCAGACATCTATTTAGAAGCTATCAGACAAGAGATAAACACAAAGTGACTGTGCAGATAAAAAAAATCACAGCTTTTCAGAAAGAATACTTTCTTCAATTCTTGATAATCATAAACAAATAATTACACCCCAAAATCAAAGTTTCCAGATAAAGACCAACTGTTTATACATGTAGGTAAGCAAAGAACTTGAAAAGAAATGTACTTATATTCTAGATAAATTTCTAGACAAATTCCATGTAATTATTGACAGAGATAATTAAGTTGTCTGTACACCAGTCATAGTACAAAGGAACAATACAAATAATGCCAATATGTATAAGGAAATATTAATGGGAGGGGTAAGGTCCATGTTTGAAAGATAATTTCATGAATGAACAGAATTGATAGTACTGGTACTCATAACAACTGATTTTTATATATCTCTGAGACATGTAGTTACATGTCAATGGACTTTAAACACCATCTACTTAAACAATATAAATTTCTTAATCAAATGTGGATAAGAGGAAAGTTAGGGGGAAATGACCCATTTCTAGTACTCCTGGTAAACTTCTGACACCCCAAACAGTCAATAAAAAAGTTCACTCAAACAATTGCCCTGTGATTATGTATTCCTCAAAAAGGAGCAAACATTTGATATCATTCTTCATCCCAGGTGACTGAATGTACATGTATATCCCTATTCTCTGCGTCACCACGCTTTCAAAAGAGTCATTTACAAATATGTCATGTGCAGCTACAATGATCGATAAGCGTAAGTTGTAATAAAAATAACAATAATATTTGTTTCTTGTATAGCACATATCACATAACATTTCTATGAGTTTCCAAAGAGCTTTGGAAATTATGTGTATGAGGGCAACTACTTGATGCCTCTACTGAGAAATCTTAAGTTTGCAGTGCAAGACTTTTAATATTTGCTTTCTTCTGATGGCAAAGTACAGAGCTGCAAATCTAATCTTTTGTCTCAAATCTCTATTCTCAAATCTCTATTTCATAATTAAATTTGGCTATAAATGTCTTTTCTTGGAAGTTCACGACATGCCTTTGATTTTGACAAGTAGCTTAACCTCTTCTGTGTGGTGGCTGGCACATACCACACAAGAATATGAATGTTCCACTATATGTTTAAGGAAAGTCGTTGCTATTAATTTTAATCCTGAAGCAGAAACACAACTCTGTACATCATGACTTTTCCAATAGAAGATATTTATAGCAAAATTTAATAATGAAATAGAGATTTGAGACATACGATTTGATTTGCAGCTCTTTACTTTGCTGTTAGAAGAAAGCAAACTTAAGATTTCTCGGAAGAGGCATCGAGTAGTTACCCTCATAAACTAAAGCTTATCTATCATTGTAGCGTCGCGTGACATATTGGTAAATGAGTTCATAGAAAGCATTTTGATAGTTGATTCAGAAGATTGTTTTGCAACCCTCCAGGGCACAGAAAGGGTTAACATGTCACAAATTAAAGTTTGACAAAGTACAGTCGAACCTGCACAGAAAGACCATCCAAGGGAGATACAAAAGCGGTCTTTGTGTACAGATTCAATGAGAATCAGTGTTTTATAAAGGAAACAGAAAATGTGGACTTTAAAGACGATGTACTCTGACACTTGTTTTTTAAATAAGGAACAGTGTTTTGAGGTAAACAGAAAATGTGGTCTTTATGTACAGGTTTAATCACTAACTCATGCTTTTTAAATGAGCATCAGCGTTTCGAGAGAAGGTCTACTGTACCAAATATTTAAAAACTGAGAAACAGTGTTTCCGGAGAAAACAGGAAATGTGGTCTTCAAACAAAAGTCTACTGTATCACATATTTTTTTAATGAAAAACAGTGTTTCAAAGGAAACCAAAAATGTGGTCTTTATACAATAGTTTCCTCTAACACAATTTTTTTAAAGGAAAAACAGAAAATGTGGTCTTTATGTACAGGTTTAATCTCTAACACATGCTTTTTAATGAGAGTCAGTGTTTTTAGAGAAAACAGAAAATGTGGTCTTTATACGAAAGTCTACTGTAACACATATTTTTAAAATGAGAAACAAAAATGTGGTCATTATAGACACGTGGTCTCTGTACACAGGTGGTTGCTAAAGCAGACCGACTGTTTACTATCTTACCCTATCGTCTGTAGCCACTTGGTACTGTCCAACGTTGAATACCACTTCTCGTCTGTCGTCCAGAAGTCTTTGATGTTTTCTGAAAAATTATACAAAAGTATGAAATAAAAACTTGAAAATCAGGGAAATAAGATAGTTTTTACATTACCTTAGCAGTGAACTATATTCGTCACAGACTTATTGTGTATGTGTAATAATAATCATAATATATAGGATTTAAAGGCGCCAAATCCACTTCAAGTATGAAAAAGTCCTAACAGAGAAATATTAGGGCCTGGAAGCTGCCCACATGCATAATGGGTTTGGGTAATGTAAGACAATTTACTTATTATATCACATCATAAAGAAATACCAAGGGCATCGTTTCACGAAACTGTCATAAATATAAGTTCAACGGCGTTGAGTCAGTGGTCATTTTGTTGAACTATTTACCTCCGAATCAAAAGGGTCAAAATGCAACATTAATCTGTCTGAAGCAACTGTCTGAGCAAGGACCGAATCAGTGGCTATCCATAACCCCACATTTATGAAACGTGAGATTTCTACTCCTGCTTGGTGTTAATGATTTAAGTCACTTTATGTAACAGAAAACTAAGAATGAGCTCAAATTCCCAGAGCCCTGAGTCACATTGCCTTCAATGCATGAAGGATTGCCAAATTGAATTATAAAGTCATACCCCTCTGATCCCCCCCCCCCCCCCCTCCCTTCGATGATGTCATAAACATTCTATGAGTTTCTTTTTTGGTAGTGACTTGGCAGAAATCAATGGTTTGATATGAGTGCAGTCTACCATGCTCATGTTCTGTGCTAGATAGTTTATTAAAAAAATATGGGGAGAATACAGGTATTTTGGAAGGAGGACATTACAGTAGTAATGGTATCTATCTCGAATAGATGCATCTATTCATCATTCCATTCCTTATTGACTTATTATTTCTGTAAAAAAGCCATTGCTCCAAAAAAGTTACAAGTTAAATTCCTCTAAATAATTAACAATGTAAAATTTACACAATTAAAAATAAGTTGTTTAAGCCATTCAATATTACCATTTCATATGAAAATGATCAACAGTATGTCAACAGAAATACGTTTACTGACAAGCCCTTTTTAAGGCAAAAAATTGACCATTCTGACCAACTTTCTCAACAATACCATCCGGTATTTGTTACAAAAATAAAATGCTACAGATACAATTTTGTTGTACAGCGCTGCTTAACAATATAAGAAGCAAGAAAATATTGCTATACCAAACACACCCTTTCTGATCTTTAAAATGGATTTGTCATGGGGACTATAAACAAAATAGCAAAATGTATGGAATGGGCAGTCAGGGCTTATAAATTTGTTGAAATTGAATTTAGGGGAAATCCACGAGGAGTCTGACAAAATTAGAGTGCCATGACAAGATTAAGTTTGACACAAGTTTGACATTAAAAAAAACCTCTTTCAAAAACCAAGACAGCCAATTAGCCTGGTTATGTAATCAACACGGGACTTACTAACTTGGCAGTGACTTCTGGAAAACTGCCACATTCCTTAGAGGCTATTTCTGAAAATACCTGTTTTTTACTCAAATGGGATTTATGAAGGAGGTAATCCAATTTGTTTTGATGCTGAATGAAGGCTTTTTTTTCTTCATAAAACGTTTTGCTATCAAAGAAGAGTTGTGTGGTTCTACAACACCCATGGGCAGCTTCTTGAGAAAGCGGAGACTGCAAAGTATTTTGGTAATGGTATCCATCTCAAGAACAACCTGAACTGGACCTACCCAATTGAAGCTGTCACTCAGAAAGTAAGCAACATCGGTGCCGATCTGCAACAAAACATCGAGGCCTTACCCAAGGAAGACTAAAGCACTGTGCTACTTAGCACTTGTACGATTGCTTTTTCTTCATACAACGTTTGCTATCAAAAAGAGTTGAGTGGTTCTACAACATCCTTGGGAAGGTTTTTGAGAAATCAGAGGCTGCAAAGTATCTTGGTATTGGTATCCATCTCAAGAACAACCTGAACTGGACCTACCACATCAAAGCTGTCATTAAGAAAGCAAGCAACATCGGTGCCTTTCTGCAGCGAAACATCAGGCCTCGCCCAAGGAAGACGAAAGCACTGTGCTACTTAGCACTTGTACGTCCCTTCTTGGAGTATGCTAGCACGGGATCCTCATAGTCAAGACAACATCCAGAGACTGGAAAATATTTTTTTCATTTATAAGCGAACCTCTCTGCTTTCAAGGTTTGCTTATTAGTGAATCTCTCTGCTCTTAATGTCCGCTTTAATAGCTAACCTCTCCGCTTCCAAGGTTTGCTTATATGCAAAGTGGCTGTTCATTGTTTCCACCATATCTCTATTGAGAAATGCTGCATTGACCTACCTGGCATGCACATGGACTGAAGCTTGAGGTAACCGCTCTGTAGTTCCTGTATACTGGGACATTCTTTGCCGATGTCTATGATGTCTGGATGCACCTTGGAGGGATGGATGTGAATAACGCTGTCTAGAAACCTGGATCGGGGAAGAAAGATGAGTGAGTGAGTGAGTGAAGAGGGATGGAGAGTGAAGGAATGATGAGGGGAAAATGAAAACAAGAGAAAGAGATGAGAGAGGAAGGAAGAGAGGAGCAGAGAAAGAAGGGGGAAAAAAGAGGGAGACAGAAGAGTGAGAAAGAGAAGGGAGAAAGAGGGGGGGAAGGAGAGAAGAAAGAGGTAGTGAGTGAAGAGGGATGCAGAGTGAAGGATGATAAGGGGAATATTAAAATAAGAGAAAGAGATGAGAGAGGAAGGAAGAGAGGAGGGCAGAAGCAGAGGGCAGAAATATAACAATGTGAAAAAAAACATGAAAGAAAAGTCTCAGAGAAAAATTTGAAGGGGCAATGAGAAGGGAAACAAGATTGAGAAAGAGGGGGTTGGTTACAAAAATGAATACTAATCATAACTTGGCAATGGACAGGTGAGGTACATATATACCTTTTATCAAATAAGAATATAAACCAAGTTAAGGACAGTCCATTGTTGCTAGATCTTATCAGAGTGGTTTACACAATCACATCATCTATTTCTGTACCACATTAAATGTACTTATAGAGGATTAAGGGGGTACTTCTAGCATTACCCCCTGGTATCTGTGTATTACTCATTTCATGTAACTCTTGTAAAATCATATTTCTGTCTTGATAAAAGTGTTCCATACATTTCTAACAGAATTTCTTTATACAGGTGAATCATAAGCCATGAGATTAAATGAGTTGGGGAATAGATCCATGGGCATAATATGATTTGGTACCATATAGGAAATGGCAAAATTGAATCATGTCACTTGATGTTTGCAAATTTACGGATATCCCTAAAGACTTATCATACATCAGATGACACAATGTGCAATATTTCTCCCCCTTTGTATCTGAATATAGATTTCTAGCAATGATAACAAATGAAACAAAGTAAGCATTTGCAAACTAAGTTACCATGAAACAAAAGCCACCTAATTCAATATTCATGCAGACCAAATCTTTCCATATTGTGTAGGTGCTCCTTTCCTTAATAACTCCATGAATGTTCCAATCATTTCCAAGTGTCAATCACCCAAGAGTTCTGTCTCTCTCCTTCAAAACTCTCTTTCAAGTCCGCTCCTCAAAAGTTATGTTTATGATAGAAGAAAACAATTTGATATTGCATCATATTGACGGGGCTCCTGCATCTTGACTTATGTGAAATCAAACTTCTATTTTATACAGTTGATCTTTTCTAAAAAATTAGAATTTGTCAAATGTTTATGAACAGTGTAAATGTATATTTCTTTCATATTGCTGTGACATGTTTTAAGATTAACAGTAATATCTAGAAACCAATGTGTAATACTTCAATATGAAGTCAATGTTGGATCTTTGATTTGTATTGGCCCAATATTTTTTCTGGCTTTATTCATTTTTTTTTAAAGGTTTCTATGACTTCTAAAGACTCCTACAGCCACATGGAGAGAATTGAAGAGGCTGCCTGTTTTCTGTGAGGGGATGTGAATTTTTCACACCTAGATAGAATATTTCTTTGAAAGGCAAGGTGCATATGTTATCACCACAGACACGGTGGATATGTTCTCACTAAGAGATACGATCATCTGCGGCTTATTTAGTCATCAAACAGAACCTGAAAGTTGTAACAAGGTTCCGTTGCAAGCACGTCCCAGAGACTATTGTTTCTAAAATTATCATCACGGACTCCCCAGTGCTTCTATTCTTACGGGAGAATCTGTCTAACATTTCTGTGTGAACTCCCATTGACTCCACTCCTATCCCTAAAAAGCTGAAATTTTGGCTGAGGGCTTCATGAGTCATGTGATAGCTGGGTCCCCATGGTCCCATCGGAGCGCGCGAAACTCTATTTATGAATTTGGATGGATATTTTCAGGAGCTTTATCAGGTTGGCAGCACCTTAGACCCTGCATTAGCAGTCCTTCTCCCGTAATAGAATTATATATTAATTAGCTAAAATTCAATTAAGCATCCATCTAGTTAACTGTACTTTGGAAACATGAAACTTCTGTCAATCTCGACCGCTCCTAAAATTCACTTCAGTTTCATGCTCACTGAAATTTCATGCAGATATATGCTTCTGGTTCTACAGTTACTGGTTGCGGGATTTTTCTACTTTTTTTTGGTGGTAGGCTCTGAAATACTTTAAGAATATCTGAAATGTATGATAAATAGTCATCATTGACAAGTCGCAAAAAGGTTCAGGTCAGAACAAAAATTATGGTTGGAGAGTATGTAACCCTGATGCTTACCACTTCTCAGACTCGTTTTCGATAATGTTGTCAGAGGGTGCCGTCATCCTCATTAGCATACTCCCATTCCTGTGACTCCAACACCAGAACTAAAAAGAATAAAGAAGGACAAAAAAGAGGGGGATAAAAAAGTTAGAATAAGAAATACTCAATGATGCAAAACAAGAACTATTAAGAATAATGAATACAAGGAGTCCATTAACATTACAGCTCAAAACATTGGATTTTGTCTCATTTTTTAACCGCATTAACCATATTCTTTTATTTTGTATATCTCTGTCAAATAGACATTCCGTCTGGGGGAGGGGGGGGGGGCTCAAGTTTAGGTTCTCATTTTAGTTTCCAGAGCACATTTTGAGTTTTCCAGAGCTAAACTACTAAATTCACTCTCAGCTTCTGCACCTGTATATTCATTATCAGTAGAAACAACTTTCAAAGAAAGCTAGTGCGAACAGAATTAGTGATTATCAGAAATCAGGACATAGAAACTGGGAAAATGAATGAAACATTTTTTTTGTGTCATAATGAAATATGAAATGGGTGTAACTTTTCAAAAATTGTACATTCCTACATTATGATGGTGACCATGAAACATACATGTCTACATATAATGTAAGCTCAGTTCTCTTGAATCTTTGATGTTGTAAATCTCGTAAATCCATAATGTTTCCCTTTACGCACAGGGATTACAAGATATATATATATTTGTTTGATGTAAATCCTCTGCTAAGTTCTGGACTCAGACAGGGGTGAGAATTGATTGATTTCCATGGCAACACATCCCTTCAAGGCAGGTGCCGTAAATTCCAAGAGCTCAAGAAATCTAGAGCATAATAGCTGATGAAAAGCCTTGGCTGGAAATCTGGTTCTCAAAAAAAAACAGGAATAGACATGCTGTCAAGTGTCAGTCAGATGACAATCTCAGAACTGTTAACCACCATAATAGCACCATTGCATTGCTGTCTGAATCGGAGGGGCCCCCAACAAGGGATCAGACCCTCTTCACATCAGTTCAATAAAAAATTTCTTTCTATATTATTCTCAGACCTGTTGACCACCATTGCATTACTGTCTGTATCTGAGAGGCCTCAAGCAAGGAATGATAACTGGGATGAGACCCTCTTCGCACCAGCTAAATATATTGCAATTCTTTTCATGCAATTTTGCCTGTTTCATTGGAGTTTATAACATGGAAGGACAAACAATATGAGACACTGTTCACACTAGCTAAAGACAGTGTTACTAGTAAACTGTTAACTGTGTTATTCACCCCATTAATGCAAACCGGTCTACATCAATCTCTACAAAGAATGGACACAGCAAGATCAAGTTCGTACCAACAATATTCCCCATTTCATATAGGCCCCATTCACACCAGATACATGTACACGTAAAACTGCATTTCTTTTTATATCATTTTTAAGATCAGCTGACCACCAAAATGCCATGATGTCTGTATCAATGGGGCCCTAAAACAAGACAAGACGTCACCAAAGAGGCTGTTGAAATACAAAAGTTTATTTCCTTCATAATCTTCTGTAATCTATAATGTGGTTATTCTACAAGGGATCATGTGGCTTCAAACTTGTCTGTCAGAAAAAAGGGGGAAGTACGGGTCCTGTACTCCTGTTTAGCCTAGCTTACATCAAGTTTTTATTAAATACTGTGGTATACTTTCACTCATAAGTTAACCTATTGACTCCTGAATGCTCTTATACATGAATCCCTGGTTCCAGTCGGTACAAGGTTTAATAGGCAACTACTAAAGCCACAGTTCTAATCTCTAGCCTGATATAAAACCTCTATCTCATGATGATTATGACATCGTTTAGATGTGGCTAAACTAACTGTTTGATGTGGTAACAACAAACTTGCAGAACTGAAGCTGAGCCCCTGCTCTTCAAAGTAGAAACATGATCTGTCAAATATGTTGTCAAACTCCTCTATGAATAGAATAGAAAATCACGTTGTCTCATGACAGGTATTCTTCCCTATCCAGAAAAAATACAAACTAAACAACTTGCTCATCTCTTTTCATTATCGCCGACTGCCTGCAAGAAAGCTTGTTATCACCATTGACAATACATAACTTTATGGACTTCTTGCTGGCAGCCAATATTCTTTGCTATCTAAAGAATTTCAGAAGTTCTTCATGATATAAATCATGCTTATCAGATGCCAATCAAAATCTAATTCATTTGATATTTATATATCATGTACATGTAGGATGAGAGGAAGAGGCCTGTTTTGTATATCATGACTGAAGTTTTATCTGAAATTTAATGTTGTGCATTGAAACATTACGGATAATTCCAATCACGTTTCTTGGCATCTCAGTGATAAAGCATGTATGGTTTCATCAATCTTGGCTAACCATAACTTTGCAGTTTATGTTTCGTATTATCTAGAAATATCAAGTGATTTCCTTTCTGCTTTGTTAAATATTTTTAATCTTGATGACATTCAAATCAATTTGCATCTCTTTTAAAGATAATATCAACCATTCCAAAAATTTAATAATATAGTATTAATGACTGCTTTGAGAGAAATAGTTGTTTTTATACGCTCAAGGGAAGGTTAGAATTGTGCTATTACCCGAGGCGTGCCGAAGGCAATAGCCCAATTGTAACCTTCCCTAGAGCGTATAAAAACAACTATTTCTCGAATATTAAAGCAGTCATTAATACTTTTACATGCCAAAAAAAAAAAAAAATTTAAATAAAAAAACTTTTGTCGAAGATGGGATTCGATCTCTTGCGTACAAAAGGTGATGAAACTAAAATCACCGCCTTAAACTGCTCGGCTATCGCGCTCTGTTACCATACATAGCAGTTTTTTCTTATATATACATTAAAATGGATTGAAAACGGCTTCGCGTGGTGGATGCTTCGCGGCGGCTCCATTAAACAGGCCCTTCTTTTACTTTTGCATTGCATATTGGCACGAATTTAGATCAAGATCTATCGGCAGATGTTGTTTTTTTGTTTTTGGAAGTTTTTTTTCGTCTTCATGTCAACAATGCAAGATAAAATTGTCGGTAAGATCGATCGAGATTCAATTGTATTAAAATTAACGGTATCCTCGATCGCTCAGACCATTTTTTAACATGTAAACCTATGGGGTAACCATGGAGACTGAACTATTTTCCCAATAACCATGGTTACTGGGATTATAGAACTGTTTTAACCATGGTTACTGGAAATTTTACAGAAATAGTTGAAGTTTATGAATGCAATTTCGACCAATCAGATGGCTGGATTTCTTAAGTGAGGTATATAAATGTATTTACTCGCTTAACTAGTATGTTGGATGGGGTGTAATGTACCAAGTAGCTGAATATTTAGATTTTGCATACCGTACTATTAGACATCGCAAAATAAATAAAACGACGCAAAACAACACCCCCTCCCCCCCCCCCCCCCCCAAAAAAAAGGAAGGGGTGTTGTTTTGCCTCGTCATTTTATTAATTGTGTTTGTTTGTTTTTATTATCATTGTGCTGTCTAATAGTAAGGTATGCAAAAATCTGAATGTTAAGCTACATGATACATTACATTCCATCCAACATACGAGTAACGCAAGTACATAGTACAGTATTTACAATGAGTTGAAAGTGATACCAACATTTTCCATAAATAGAGCACTGGCTAGGATTAGCAGCACTGGTATGGACAACATGAGCCACAATCCATAGGATTTTCAACTCAATACAGTTAACCCTTTCCTCCCCGGTGTATGGGGGAAGACCATAACCCTGACAGTCTGAGTGTTAATCATGTGTTGGGTGTTTGGTCCAGACAGACAGGGAAGGATAAATAGTACACGGGACACTGGTTAAGTTTGCTACTAGGAGGGGAGACGATTTAAAAAAAATGTATTACAACAATACACATTTCTTCACATCCTCCCCCTCCTAGCAGCAGAATTGACCCCTATCTCCCTGGTAGAAGAGGGAAGACAATAACCCTGAGAGTCTGAGTGTTAATCATGTGTTGGGTGTTTGGTGCAGACAAAAGGAGAAAGTACACAAAGTACACGGGACTCTGGTTGAAACTTGCTGAAATCTATTACCCATTTCACAGGTAGAGTTTCATCTAACTCCTTCTGTGCCTTAAAGTGGTTGAAAAATTGTCATAAACAAACCAGGTATTATAATCCTTACTCAAAATGTGTGTTTTATTGTTAAAACAACAATTATATCCCTACAATCCCTTGGGTAGCAATTTTACAATGAGACTAATATTTCTTCATCAGAAAAGACATGGTGCAACTAGTGAGTATAAACTGTTAAGCATTAATAATTTTTGATGGAATTAGCCACCACTAGCATTTCACTGTACGCATTTCATGAGATTATGCCTCTGTAATTAAATACATAGAATTATGCCGATTTATTAAGCGCACTGAATGGAAAGGCATAAAAAAATACATCTGCATATCAAGTCACTTGATGTGCAGAAGTTATATAAAAAGGAAATCGATGTGATTATATGAAAAGGGTCAATATCACAATGTCAAACTTACTGTGAATATTTTAATCTTTTGCGTTTCTAAATTTTCATGTTACGGCTATTATCATCTTGAGCTTTTTCCTTATTTTTCTTTATTGGGAGTTTCCTCTAACATGTGATAAAGTTCCTAAGATGGTAATCTTAAAAATTTCTTTATACAGGTCTCATAAACCTCACTGTAATCTTTAATTCTCCCCTTCAACATAATAAAAAACACAACCTAAGATCTTAATAATGATGAACCTTAAAGAGGGCCTACATATTGAGGTGTTGAGCCAGCGATTGACTGCTTGCAAATCACTTAATGAGTTTAATCAAGTCAAAACACACCTACTTCGAGAATAAGCTACACCTTGGATATTAAAGTCTTCAAAAATACCAAGGAGTCTCTCTAACTTTTTCTTTAAAAAAATCCTACAAATGCAGGGTGTACCTAAAGCCTTCAGAACCCCAGGAGCCCCATTCCAATATGTTTTCACTTGATTAAATGATTAGTTTAGGGATCAAAAAATTGTGCTATGCTAGGACAAATATCCTGATCAATTTCCATGCACTAAGATATCCTTCGGAGATAAGGACAAGAGATACACATTGAATATCTACACCAACAATCATGGGGGCAAGAACTGGGCCCTGTTTCACAAAACTTGTCATCAGTGAGAAATGACAGTTTTTGTTATAAGCTACTGAAATCCTTGCTTCTGATTGGTTATAGGCAGATATGTCACTGATTTTTGTCATTTGTCATTGAAAAAAGGCTTTGTGAAATGGGTCCCAGATCACCATCACCAATGCAAGGACTATTTATTATTCAAACAAGCCATTTGATTTTCCTCTGCTCTTGATAGTTACCTACAGTAGGACAATGCACAAGGAAGCCATGATTAACATCAGTTTTGGTTTCAGCATGGAATCTACCACACTAACAAATAAATTATTAGGTTGTTGTCATTTCTGACCACTATTAAAGAAGACAGCTTTGAAAAATGGGATTGACAAGTAATTCATCATCCCAATGCTTTAATCTCTGAAATGCCCTCCTGGATAAAAAGTATGATACAGGGAAGTATCTGTAATTACGCTATTTCATAAAATGCCATTCCAAGACTCCATCCTGGTCATTTAAACAAAAAATGCTAATTTTCTCCCCTCTGCCCCTTCATTTGTTTAAAGCTGCGTATACATGTTTCAAAGTGAATGCCCACGAATGTGTTCTAGTTCTCCGAACCCCATGGCTACTGAAATACTATTTTCTCTCTTAACTTCATCCTTGACGGTTGCCAAAATTAACTCCAGGAACCCGACTGGAAAATAACGGAAAACCAAATGTCTCACCAGGGACTGAAATATCAGCCAGCGACACGTTTTCTCTCTTCTCCTCGCTTTGGTTCATTTTCACAGAAAGTGTTTCTTTAAACAAATATTTTTTTCCCTTCATTTTGGGCTGGAAAAACCTGACTTGCCTTAATGTGATAATTATGTGGCCTTCCTGATCAATGAAAGAGTGTGTATCGGGATCCTACTTTCCATGAAGTATGCCTAAAAATGTCTCTTCTTCACCCTTCCTAGTCGGTTCTCTGTGTGGAAAACTCTGGATTATCCCAGAAAAGTTTGCCTTTGCCAGAATTGCTTTGGTGAGGTTACGGCATGATTTGGGAAAAATATACAAGGTCTATAGATACTTCTTGCTGATTCCATTTAAGTAACACCAACGTATGATATGGGTTGATTCTGAGGATGAGGTCATGAGGATGATGATGATGATGATGATTATAATGTCTGATTACCGGTAATGATCATTATCTGAAATGCAGGCACATGTAACGTCACAAAAAATGTTACTCCCCTAAGAGAACTTGCAATGAAAGATGCTTGCACAGCCAAAGAAAGAGTTAAGACTCCCAAAACAGGAAAGTTCTCCCACTTTAATAAAAGGAACGAGACTTGAAGGAATACCACTGGGATTTTCATGTAAAACTGAGATAACATGTTTCACTGACAGATGCATTACCTGTATAAATTAAACACCATGCCTACAGTAAACAAGCTTCATATCAGCATTAAGCATAAACAGTGCATATAGGAAACACTAATGTATTAAGAGAATTACCCAGAAGGGTAAGGCAAAAAATGTAATTAAGTGCAACTGGGAATATTTCAACAAGCTTTGGAATAGAGACAATTGCCAATTTGTGTATATTGTGTGAATATTCAGGATTCCTAATTGTAAGCTTTTATACATCAAAACTGTTATCTTCTTCCTCAATATTATATTACCTACATGTAGCTTTGCCCCCTATCCACAAGTTATAAAAGAAGTTGCTATGTCATTGCTATGGCACTACTATTTCAGTAGTGCCATAAATACAGATATAATGCAATGTGTCAATTTCAAAAACTCCTTCTTTTTTTTTCTTCTTCTGCCTTGTCTTTGTGGGTGTAAATCACGTACAGATATAAATCTAGTGAAAGTATGAGTAAATTTGGATCCGATCAAAACTTCTCAGGACTTCACAGAACTATCGGTAAGACCTAAAAATTTCAACAGATTGTTCCTCGGATGAAAAAGAATCAAGAATGACAGAGGAATACAAGATTGCATGGTTGACAATGCAGGCAAACAGAGATATGAAAGACTTGCTTTCCTATGACTTTTCTAACATGACATTTATGGATCAGTTAATGTATAAATTAAATAAACTTGATAAGGAAATGAAAGGAGGACTGGCACATGTTACAAGGAGAAGCAGGAAATATAAACATTTACACCGTCATAGCATTCTCCTCAAGTCCTCAGGAAACCTGAGATCTTTACCAAACTAATGCCTCTTTCATGAATATAAATATGCTCAAGCACGTCAGAATGTATTCATCCTTGAATTGAAACTGTACTACCAGTTCTCCAATCCATTCATTTTCATCCAATCTTACATGATTTAACATGGAACAGAAGTAGTTAATACCAAATTACAGGCAGAAGGTCATGCAATGGGGGCATGCTGACTTGGAGCAAAAAAAGAGATGGTCTCTAACCACAAGGTTATAGGTTCAATTCCAAGTTGATGATGCAGTAGTGCCCTTTGCTTTACTAGGTACTAATTCTCAACTATCAAGTCCCTAGGGTAAGACTTAAAGATGTACACTGTAGGTCCCCTGGTTCAGTATCTACAATCAAATACTTGCTTTAAATGCTTGCTTTCTTAGTAGTAGTCGAGAAAACTAAACCATCATCAAGTCTCTTTAAGGTCAACAAACTTTGACGAATTGGAGGTGAATCACTTCTAAGGCAATGCCTCTTCTCAGAATGAACTACATCATATTTCTGTCATCCGAACTTATTCTCGTCCCAAAGAATAACATACCAAAAAAGTACTTCAAATAACAAAAAAATCTCAAAATAGGAAGAATCTCTGAGACACACACTCGGTGGAGATTTACAAAATTAATTTCCAACGCAGTTGTGTTGATCTACACCCAACACCTGATGGGTAACTTTGTGACATTGGGAATAGAAACGGAGGAACACATTCGCAAGCAGGTGATAATTAGCTGGTAAACGCCGGGACAGGATAGCTCGTCACATGCTGGCCTTGCCTCCCATGAATTCACAACAGCTGGGCGATGCGGACTAACGGGACTGCGTGGAGAGCGTGTGCAAGTCTCATGAGAGGATTAACGTTGGCATAAAGGCGTTATCAAATTAAGTTTCATGGCAGTTTGGGCTTTGGGTCAATTAATGCAGAGTTTGTCCAAGAATAGAGATAGAAGCAATGGACACAGTTGAGTCTTTATAAATTGCATATGAGGTGAAAGAGAAAGAGTTACTTAGGTAAAGTACTGGTTCCCTTTTCAATCCAAATTCTACATAACTGAACAAGTGACATGCATGTAGTATTCAATACAAACTGCATAAGGATTTGATCTTATCTCACATGCATTTACATGTATTTATGACTCCATGTGCTTCAGGTTTTATTTTGTGAAAGCTATATGGTTGGGTTGAGGTGCACAGAACTAGAAATACTGTATATCAAATGTAAGTGAGATATGATGAAATCACTTCTTTATTCTTGAAGGCTCCTGAATTTAGCGTACTGTTACAAGTACATGTACATCCACATATCTACTTACAGGTACTCTGCAATCTTCAAAGTTTGTTGATGCCTTCTTTAGCTCGTAGTCTGAACACGGGTCTGGTACCACGAAGAACTCTGGCATGCTGTGTGCAGAAGAGAGAGAGAGAGAGGAGAGAGAGGGAGGGAAAGAGAGAGAGAGAGAGAGAGAGAGAGAGAGAGGGGGGGAGATAAGGAAATAGTAGAGAAAAGATAAAGAATGAAAAATATAAAATCAAATTAATATATATATCTATAATCAATAAACAGGTGAAGCAATAATTTAACAATTATAAGAATTATAAAAATAAAAAAGTTCAAGGAACTGAAGGGGAAAAACACATAAAGTAATCAATTAACACTAGTGAACAAGGAAATAGAAATATAGTATCATAGTTAGACATGACAAGATTCAATAGCAGGGTAGCAAAGAATTAAGGAACAATTTTTTTTTTAAAGAATAGAAATACTCAGTTTTTACAAGTACATCACAGTGGAGGCCCCTATACTTACTTTGTCAGAGTTGAATATAAAATTTTCTTTTGATAAATACAAATATCTCTGCAACCCCCTTCTCTCCCCCTCCCCCTTCTCTATTCCTCCCCTACCCTCTCTCTCTCTCACTCTAAATAAGTAAACTGTATCTTATCTCTCATCTGAATCTAAATTCTATTGATAATCTGACAATATTTGAGTGTACAGATGTACATATATACCTTTAAAGAAGGCTTTGACAGTCTTCTCTGATTGCCACCTTATAATGCACCCCAAGAACGCATCCCTTTCCTTCTGACACCACACAATGAACCCCTAACCCAGAGGGGGCTACAGGTTCTATTTAGAGATGCTACAAATATTAGCAGGCTTCCTTCATAAAACCTACACATCCTCTCGCATTTCAATTTCCATTTGTACAAGTTCCTTAAAATCTGGTAAATTGCCCATTTTCTGTCGAAAAGCAACGCAATGATTCTATTTCATACAGATGTCTTTTTATTTAAAAAAACACTTGTTAATAGAATGTGAAAGTGTATTTGTGTGATATGTAAATGTGTCAGATGTAATTGACACTACGTGTATGAACATGTAGCGTATCATTACAGCAATGTTTATTAAAGATCCATTTCTGTTTGTTGAACAAGGAAGGAAATTACAATTAGTTTCTCACATTCTCTTCGAGCTTGAGTGTTTCCTGTAGTGCACAAGGATATTTTGTCCTTCTAATGTAACTTCTACACTTAATTCAGGTGGGAAGAAGCATGACTACCAACCTATTACAAGGTTTACAAACATTAATGAATTCCTTCCATTTTTGCCCAAAAGCCAACTTTTTGAGCCAAATGTTTTAATGTTGCAATACCCTTTTTGGCACCTGTCACAAGAAAGAACTTGCCCTATAAAGCATTCTTATTGTTAAGTCTCCAAACTTGGGATCAGCAATATGCATGTTGTACTAAGTGAGAATTGGTATTGGGTACGATTCATATCATAATAACGTTCACATGTACATGTAACCTATAGAGGGTGTACTTGAAGTGCGAGTGACAAAGCCCAATTATCAAAAGCAGCATGGTTTAAATAGAGATGACAGACAATAGGAGTGCAAGCAGACAAGGGGATGACGAGACCATGCCAAACACCTCCCTCTATCAATGAACGCTAATTTCCCCCTGTCTGGTCAGGAGACAATAGCCAGCATAGGATTGTCTTACGGCTCCTGGGGACATGAGGGTGTCAAGACCACACAGTCTCGTTACTCAACAGAAATAAATGCATTATGGAGAGTACTATCCCCATCAGCCATCCAAGAATATCACAGGGTGATCTCTCTGTGGTTATGTGAGCATTTGCCTCTTTTTCTCTGTAAAGCATAAACATATACATGTACATGTAACAACAAGGTCTTTCCTCACTAGCAACACAAGAGAGATACAGGTTGATTTTGTGTTTGTTTTTTTGTCATATGCCTCTATTTTTTTTAGTCTTTTGCCTCTTCTAAATGTAAAATATGCAAACCACCAGGTTTCCTGTCCCTTACGAAGTAAAATTCCATGAAAAATCTTGTGATTATTCATTTGGCTCATCAACATGAAAATATCTCCCAGGTCTCGAGCGTATCTTTTTCTATGTACTCCACATTTCCTTCCCGTTCATCAACGTTTATGCCTTGTGGTATGTTGCAGGAACGAAGAAAATCATTCTGTTCTTGACTCTTCCTGTATAAGAGGAAGGTGGAATATTATACAGGGACAATATCACTCTCCAATTAATCTTTATTACAAAATTCAAATTATATTTCCCACAAAATGTTACCCTGTTATCATAATGATCATACTCCTGTAGAGAAAGTTAATTGAATATACAAGTGATAGATTTCCCTTCATTGGTTGCCTTTTTTCCTCTGATGATATTTTACAGCCTTATGAGTTTGTAAGCTTACCATAGGGAACACTTCTTTCAAATATTCTACATATGAAATCAACAAATCAAGCAGATTTTTAAAACCACAATAGCATGTGGGAACATCTCAACCAGAATATATCACTACCACATATTACATAAATCATGTATTTGGTTTCACCTCTTACTAAATCATTATGTTTTCTTACCTTTTACCTATTACGCCAGTTCATTTAAATCAGAAGTAATTTGCCTTCCTGCAGGTTTAATTAAAATATATGTTGTTTCACTTTCTCAAAAGTGTCATCTTGTTGTCTCTTTGTTGATAAACGTATCCTGCTTCAAAAGCCAATGCATGTGTACAGCAGAGTCAGTTGGTCATTAAAGGGAAAGTCCATCCTGATACTAAATTGGTTTTAATAGAAGTGGAGCAATGGTAGGAACGGGTCAGTGAAAGTTTGAGCAAAATCCAATTAAAAATAAAAATAAGAAAGTTTTGAATTTTTAAAGGTGCAATCAATCAAACATAAATTGGCAACTCTCTGTGATATATCTTGCAAGCTTCCCTCTCATTTGCTCTGTACTAAAAGAAAAACACCTCTATTTAAACCTCTATGTTTCAATAAATGAATAGATCAAATATTCCAAAGGGCTAGACATTCATATTATTCTCCAAACATATTAAAAGTCATGAAGATGCTGATTAAGAGCTTTAATCCACCACCTTTACATCATAGTGTAACTCTTAGCCCTGAAACCATTTCCTTCTTCGCTTTTGCTTAATTACCCATAGATCACGAACAGGTGGCAGCACCGTGACAAACTAGTTTCACAAGAAACCATTTAACCATTAATCTCTCTCTCTATCATAAGAAGCTATAAAACTTACTTTCTTTCTTTTGTTTGCCTTGTGAGACGATGTATAAATATGAATGTACTTTACCTACATATTGTTATTGTGTAGAAAAGATTGTGGGGCAATTTGGAAATTTTGGATTGTTTTGATATTTTAAGTATTTCTGAACATTTTCCTGCCCTTTCTTTGGATCGTTCAATCTCTGAATACTTTTCTGAGACTTTTACAATACAAACTTGCCACCAAAAACAAGGTGAACTCATGTTTATAGCTGTTAACAAAAACTGCATATTTTTTAACCTGCATACATGTACACAGGTTTACAATTTCACCTAGCTCTTAAATTCCTTTCTCAGCAATATCAAAATCCAAATTTTATTTATCACTCAACAATTATTTTTCAAAAGCATCATTGTTGTAATCCATGGGAAATTACTTCATCATCCCATTGACTGCATCCCAATGGGTTCCTTCCCATCATCACTATCACTATTCCTTTCCCAACTTTAACATTCAAATAAACTACCCAAATCACAATCCAGGCAGAACCAAAACAACTCTCTGTCATGTAACATGAGATCATCCGAACTTGCAAATCTCCCCCAAAACCGACAACTGCCTCGCGTCTCTTCGTTTTGATATATCCAATGACAGATCCTGGTGTAAAACAAACTGCAGGATTACATTTAATCTCCGCGCATGATCCGTCATTTTTTCCTCCGAGTCTCTCAGCGCCTATGTTGTCAGAGAGGAGCTATATTTAAATGAAATCTTGCTGTGATTCACGCAGGAAGTGGATCGTTCCGTGTTCGATTTCAACTCTGGAGTTGCTGGAACGAATGTATAAATGGTATTCAAAAATAAACAAAAACAATATTGATGATACTGCCACGAACAATCATGAGTATGATCATCATGATCGTGACGATTATTATATTTTATTTTAAAAAAATCCTATTTATGCACTTCAAGATAATACTTTACAATGGTTTTGTACTCATGGTTCAAGTTCCATGTTTTTGTTTGTATGTCCTGTTATGAGATAATTTATGTCCGATTTAGATATCGCTGAAAATGAATGACCTTGTCTTTGTATGTTTCCATTATATGTGTGCTGATACATCCTTCGTTTCATTTTCTGCACAGGAAATGTAATACGGGAATGTCTTTGTTGTTCTCTTTCTATCAAGTACAACATTTCAAGATTCATAACATTAAAGGTGAAAATAATTACCATCTGCTAGATAATGACAACAACCATCACAAATAATTAATTGTGTGCTGGTAATAGCAAGTCATAATAACATTTGAGTATGTTTTGGTCATGATCCACCTTTGGATGTAACGAAACATAAAAAACTACTGATTTGAAATTAAATGCATACAAATTTGTCAGGGGGAAAAAGATGATAATGTAAGTTTCATCTTAGTCTAGGGATCTAATTTATTGCCCACCTCTCATTTTCTGAACATTCCATTTTTTAGAAAGAAAAAAGAAAATCTTACCAATTGCTTAGAATTTTGAGCACATGTATTAGCAACTAAAATCTAAGAAATCTGATAAATTACTTTTCAGGCTTTGTATTCCCTTTTGCTTTCAACTTAGGATTTTGGTAACATCCAACAGAAAAACATTCATATTAAAAAGTAATGATAATGCGAACAGAACATTTAAATGAAGGAAACTTTCTTCCCTCCACAATTCTTATTAGATTTGAAAGAAAATTAACCAAAGTGAAATGAAATCCATAAGCAACAGTAAAATATCCTTCAATTTGAGCCAATTTCCTGTGTGGCCACACATCCCCCATCGACTGCTGTCAAATGATTAGGAAAAAAGTGCTTTGTTCTTCATTCAATTACCCTCCTCCTATACATGTATATATATTGAAAAAGCAAGAACGACCTCTTAACACATCGGGTTTAAGCAAGGGCTGTTTGGGTATCGCAACGATATTACTTCTGACAGTGGGCGCTGTTAGGATTAACACAGACTGTCCGGTAGGTGGTGCGAAGGAGGAAAAGAGGGCAGAATAGTTGTACCCCCCCACCCCCTATCATACACACATAACCAATTAAGCACATACCCTGGCACAAACTTCCTAATGCACTCTTGTAATGTGCATGTAAATACAATACAAACTATATCGCATACCTTCTTTGATATTCTTTGCATTTCAATATGATATTTCTTGAAGACTTTTTTGAGTATTTGCTCTGGACTGTTTTTAACGTTCCATATGGTTCTCACCGGGTCCATAGAATCCAATAACAAAATAATGAAAAAGAAAATGACACAAACTGTGTAGGAATGACTTCTCCTTTATTAATCAGGAAAAAAGTCTTTTTCAATCCCCTGACAGAAAATAACAAATTTACTTGGAGGCATTTTTTGTAAAGACCTATTTTTCTAGAGCCCACTTTGAGACTTGCCAAAGCTATATTCAAAGCTAAATATAATCACTCCAGATTTTGGTGTATTTTTTGTTTTCCCAGACAGATGTAATGACATTGAACTGATCTGATCTATTTGGCACACCTATCAAGCTAATCTGAGCTTGGATGCAGTCACAGTGAAACCTTCTAAGGGTCAAACTTGAGTCTGTACTTGCAGACGGCCAGAGAGTTATCCCATGTTGCAAGTACAAAAGGGGGACAGTAAAGAGACCAAGAGCAGACCTTCCCTCGTGCCATCACCACTGCCGAAGCAGCATCGTCTAGCTAGCGGAAGGAGGGATTTAATCAGGGCTGGCCCGAAATATTGGGTGGCACGGTCAAATTGATTATTGGTGCTCCGAGCTGCCAATTTGGGTTTGGGTTAATCTCTAGCGACTGGCTACCTGGTGGCTGTGCGGAGAAGAGATAGTGGGGAAGGAAATTCTGCAGGGAATTGTATCTTGATTGGTCAGATGGCCGTATCAAAGCAAGGTTAAAGAAACAGTTCAGCTGTTAAAGGACCGAAAGGATGTTAGCCCTAAATACTTTGTACAGCTCTTCTCCTTCATGTGATACCAATTTACCTTGGACCAATGTCTTTGGTGTCCTGTGAGACCTTCCCTGGGACTTGTGTCTAAAGTTTTGTAGCAAGATACTCACACCAACATGAGCGCAAATACTTTCCCCAATGGATCTAAAACCATTCCAATACCCTTGCTCATCGCCTTTTGAAATGTGAGAACACTACAGTGACACATTACATAATATGAACATGATTGGTATTGTAATTCTGTCCTGAAGTTGGTTAACTTCTTCAAAGTCTTTGCCACCATAATAACCAGTTAAACCAAATGTAGATTCATCACTTACTGTTCTTGAAATGCGTGCTAGATATCGATTTTCTATCCCTGTTTAATCAGATTACTCCCATTTTGTCTCATAAGTGATGACATAATACAGTCAAACCTAAATAGCAATCGCCCAAGGGAAACTCAAAAAGTGGTCTTTGTAGACAAGTTCCTTTAGTATATGCATCAATGAGTAACAACTTTCAAGGGAAACAAAGAATATGGTCTTTTTAGATAGGTGGTCAATAAACCAAGTTTGACTGTATATAACAATGTATTAATAGGATAAGGGTATTGATCAAGTACACAAGCAGACCCCTTCTCTGGACAATTTACAAATGAGCAAGCACTTTCTGAGTATGACTTTTACTCTCAGATCTCTTTTTTTGTCCAATATTTTTTCAATCCCACCCTAGTGAGCCCTGTCAATTATATCATTTCCTGGTCCCATGTTTTCATACCTTGCAGAACACACATGGGTTGGTCTCTTCCACAGTCTGTTTGCTTTAATACTGGCTTGGGTTCCACTTTTCTCCCTTGACCTCCATTTTTTCTGACCTTATGACCTTTTGACCTTCTGACCTGCAGGTTTATATGTCTTTCTTCAAGTTATATACCAATCGTCATCTTGAATAACCAATTTTAGTCTTTCTGATTGCCCTTCAAGGAGCATTTAAAACAAATTTCTGACTTTCTGACTGCTTGATTGTAAAACTGTAAGTTACCTCTCCATAGTGACCCCGTATCGATAATTTATAATATATATATATATATATATATATATATATATATATATATATATATATATATAATATCTCTTCAACATTTTTAACTGTATCCTACAATATTGTAAGTGCTTAGGCACATCGTTGGATCGGTGTATTGAGCGCTATATAAAAAAACGGATTATTATTATTATTATTGTCTTTAGCTGTACCTGCAATAGCTTACATATATCTGGGTGAATACTGAGGTCCTTGTCCCTGTCTTATACAAGTAAAGTATAGCGATTAATCCAGATTAATCGCACATCCTCCAATCAATCAAAAACTCATGAAATCCAACCACTTCAGTACAGAGTTGTGATTGAGGTCAAGTTGATTGAAATCAATCATAACTCTTTATTAGACAGGTCCCTGGTTATCAAATCTTACCTTTTGGGAACAACTCACCTTCCACCCCCTCCACCCCCTCCCCTCCACCCCTCCATCCATCCCACCTACTTCTACTTTGTTTTCTCACCTGTCTGATAACCTGAAGTCTCGGTTGACCTCCGTGACCCGGACGTTCCTTGCCCCCGTCTTCTTTATCTCACCTCCTACCCTCCTCCTTCATGTCTTCCTCCTTCCCTCCACCCCTCCCTCCCCTCCACCCCTCCCTCCCCTTCACCCCTCCCTCCCCTCCACCCCTCTCTCCATCCCACCTACTTCTCTATGTTTTCTCACCTGTCTGATAACCTGAAGTCTCGGTTGACCTCCGTGACCCGGACTTCCTTGCCCCCTTTCTCTTTATCTCACCTCCTACCCATCTTTCCCCCTCCCCTCCCCTCCACCTCTCCCTCCAACCCACCTACTTCTCTTTGTTTTCTCACCTGTCTGATAACCTGAAGTCTCGATTGACCTCCGTGACCCGGACGTTCCTTGCCCCCGTCCTCTTTATCTGTTGCTCCCAGTCTGCTACCCGTCTGAACTGGGGTGTCCTCCCGTGCCTCTCCCGATCCGGTTTATTCGGCGGCGGGGGCGGAGGCGTGGCCGATATTCTGTCACGGTACGGCGTGTATTTAGGCTGAGGATGGAGGAGTCCCTTGATGCGGGTTCCGCTGCGGACGGGTAATGCCTTCTTTGCTTCGTGTCCGTTTGTGAGAGAGTTGTGAGTGGATTCGGTGCGTTTGGGGCGCGAGTTGGGCGAGTTGGATGGAAGCTCAAAGAAGAAGGCAAAGAGAAGTTGTGGGTTCGTCGGGAAGGCATGATGCAAGATTGTGTTGATCATCTAGACATGAAAAGAAACAAAGAATAAAAGTCTATTAAATAAAATTCATCTTAATTTTCTACCATCGCTGGATAATTCTCTACTTTTAGAATAACTCAACATGTTGAACGATTATATTTTGCTTATATTACTTTAAAAAATAATATTATGTTAAGTAAGCAAGCTTATACCTTACTTTCTGCCAACCCTATCAAAAAGATATGTGATAAATACACAATGCAATGTGCAACTTATGAGCTGACAATTTTAATGATGGATACCATGTTTCATCTTTCTTTGTTTATATTATGAGGAAAAGGGTCATACTTCATGTAAGAAAAACATCCTAGTCTGTACATAAACTGTGAGACATTAATCTTCATCCAAGATAAACTGCTACTCTTCAGACAATCTAACCTCTCTATACCCTTCCACCCTTATCCAAAATAATCCAAAACCAGTTGAAAACCTGCCAAGATTGGTGTCTTTTCACTTTACAGACCAAAATCGAATCAAACACTTCTTGCACCACAAGACAAGTCTCTCAATCAGGATTGTGCATTAGTCACCCTCCCGTCACTCTTCATGTCCTTAGCCAGGGCAGCTAGGAGGTGGGGGTTATCCTTGGTTATCCCCCTCTCAGGAAATTAATTACCCACATGTCTCCTCACATGGTCGACTTACTGCCCAAGAAGCCTTGATTGGGCCTCTGTGGAGTAGTTAGGAAAGCTTCTTTTCTTTTTCTTTTTTTGCCGATCGCAGAGAGATGTCAGAAAGAAGACTTTCAGGTTTTAAGTTACTTATATTCTGTACTTAAATACAAATGTTTTTCAATACACAAACCAGCTTTATTTGCTGACATTCTTTCAACTGAAAAGCCCAATGGTCTTCAATCATTCAACTAAAAATGTAAAAACTTTAAAAGACACTATTACAGGTGATGATTTTTGTTATTGAATGATCGATAATGAACTTCTTCTCCCCGGTGTGTATTGAGTCTTTACAGACGTGTATCAATCAGATAAGATCATTTACGTCTGGAGACCGACCTTTAAACGTCATCATCCGAAAGACGTGACTCAATTTCAAACCTGCGTCCTCGGCTGAATCAGTTTGTAACTTCCATTGTTAGCTGGATTACAGGCGCATGCCATAACATGTACAACATGTACATTTATTACAACAACAGATTGAAGAGTTCATTTGATTTGTGAAGTTAATTAGAACGATTTCTCTATACACGATCAAGATTTATTTATCTTGTGAAACTTCAGCTTACAAACAATAGCAGTCATTATTAGACGACTGGCAGCAAGCCAAGCTGTAGCTGGGAAAATGGCTGTCAAACTGTCAGATTGTCAGAATGTACAGTGTACGACTGTCACACTGCCATTCCCCCACCTAGGGCAAGTCTTCAACACTAGTTGTTTCACGGGACCTACCGTTGTTGTAGGCAAAAGGCTCACAAGGGACATGCATATGAATTTGATTTCGTAATCATAATTGTTTTCTACTGCACAACTCTGATTTTCCTACAATCGTTATCAACAATTGTAACAAGAACTCTTTCCTTTTATCTAAATTATTACTGGTCGTGTGTGTGTGTGTGTGTAATTGGGTTTTTACAGACGTGTATCAATCAGATATGATTATTTATGTATGGGGACCGACTTTTAACGTCACCATCTGAAAGACGAGACTCAGTTTCGAACCTGTGTCCTCGGCTGAATCAGTCTGTAACTTCCATTGTTAGCTGGATTATATGCGCATGCCACAAAGCCATGTTGTGGCACTGATAATGTGCACTTTAATACTCAACTATTTTGCGTTTTTTAACATTCAGCACCCAAAGTACATGGTCTAAATTTGTGCATGTGACACTTAATTCCTTTTTAATAATTACATTTATTATGTACAGTTTGCATAAATGATTGCATTTATTAATAGAGGAGGGTTAGGGGGTTGAGAAATACAGATACAGGTAAAAGATGAAGGTGAGTCATGAATCAGATATGATCAAGGTTTTCTCCTCCTTTTTTTCTTACTGACATCTACGTCCCACCTATGGGAGGCAAGATTAAGGGCGATTCAAAGGCACATGACTTCATGACTAGACTAACGAGATTACAACGTGAATGTCTCCGCAACCCTCAGAATAATCACATAGGAAAGCCAAACTAACATGGATGATGAATCCTTTCAATACTACATTACATTTTTTATTCAACAGTCAACTAAAATGTTTACAAGAATACTATCAAAGAATGAATAAGACTTTGAAAAAGGAAATACAATTTAAAAACCAATAAATAATGCAATTATTGTCATGGCTTTTCTCAGAATTAGGCAATTATTAATCTTCAAAAATGCAAACTGAAGTTTCTACTGCTTGATATTGCCATTTTCCAAAGAATAATTTATCTTTGAGAAGAGTGAAAAGGAGATAAGGCATAATTCACAGGATCTGGCTTCATGCTCACATAATTATTAAGGGGGGGGGGGGTGCAATTTTGATGACTAGAACTATAAATGAGTACGACTCTGCTAGTCATCAAGCAATATCTTTTCTGTATAATACTCATAACCTTCATATGAACCTACAAAGTGTGGAGTTCCTATCCTTTTACGCACGATAACACAGATTGGCCTGGATAGATTATACACAACAAAACCATCACTCTCTCTGCAGGATTATGACTCCCCCCCCCCCCCCCCCCCCCCCCCTCTCAAGCTAAAATCGTCTGTTTGGAGCCAGAAGGGCATTATCTCATGTAAAGCATCACAGAGGTATTAAAAACCCTTCTGGCTCTCAACAGTCGCGAAAATCCAAAGCTTCTGGACCCTGTTTCATAAAACTTGATATCAATATAAGTTACAAGCTACTGTTATAAGCTACTGAAATCATGGCATCTGATTGGCTGAGAGCAAATTTGTCAAAGAAATTTAGCATTTGTTATAGATAAAAAGTTTTATGAAACAGGCTCCTGGCCCTGTGATGCCTAGAGATACATGCAACCCACTAAGGACTGCCTTGACATTTCATATTAAGTTTCCTGAGTTGTCTCTGCCATGATCTCCCACAGACAGACCACAGGGGGAAGAAACTAAAATATCATGTAGAGATCATTTTGCTCTAATTTTGCTCATAAATCATTTTTTATAAACCACATGCTCTTGACCTTTTCCTCCGCGGGATAACTACCCTAGACATCAACAGAAATCCTGTAAATTATTTCCGAACAGAGAGAAAAGGAGATTAGTTGAAACCATGAATTTGAATATGTTACGTTGTACGTAATAAAAAGAAACATGCACTTTTAATTGATAAGATTAATCTACAATTAGCAAGGATCATTGGATAACGAAGGCTGATTTGAGAGGTGCAGTAAGGGTCAATTGATAATGGGCATTGTGTCTCAATACAGATAACAGTGCACTTTGAATGCCAGCCCAGGACATCCTGTCCAAAACACGGCTGATTGCGATTATTTGCTAAATTTCTCCCAGAAAACTATCCCCTTACCTACTGGAGATGGATGGTCCCTGTATCAAGCCTATGTCATTGGCAGGATTCAATGCTCGGTGGGTTAACAATATGATATTTTTTCTGTAATCACCTTAAAGGTAAAGACCAGTTATGGTCATGCGATTGCATTGTGAAAGAAACGTTGTGGAATCGTTCAGAAAAGGTTGATCATCTAGCATCTAGCATCTGCAAGGTTCTGGAATCATCAAAATGATAAGAAATTTGGCCCATTCTTCGTAAAGTTACAAGCACTATACACAGAAAGATGTATATGGGACTACCCTATATCTCTCACAGACCATGAGAGAAACAAATTTACCAAATATATGAATTAGTAGGCGGTTTCCCAGCAAATTTTTTATCATCATGTATTAGTCAAAACATATTCTTTCACATGATTGGTAATGAGAGCTTCCATTTCATTTTTTGAAATTGGGGCGTTTCCAATACTGGTCTTTACCTTTAAAAGTACAGTGAACACTCCTACAACCTAAGGATTGCCATGTGCATTGACATTTTAGGAGGTCCTCTTTTACGAATAATTTCTTAAGCCGTTTCTCTATTCATATGATATTATAATATATGTACATATCAGCACTACAGTGTACATGCAATATGTAGGTGCATATACATTAAAAATGAGGATCTGCTATATTAACAGTTTTTCTTGAACAATGACTGCACTCATGACTATAGTGTACTCTGTCTCTTTACAACTGCTGACCATTCATTTTTCTACACTGTTTCCAAGGAGCAATAACTGCAAAAATGCAATAATACAGGCAATAATTTTACATGCTTAAAAATTCATAAATGCTTTTCGCTTTCAAAAGTTCGAGTCTGAGGTGAAGCAGCAAAAAAAAAAAGAAGAAAAAAATGTCCAGTCATATAGGAAGCATTGCCAAGTCATGTGTAGCCATGGGAGGCATGCACTTCCCCCAATCAAATGATGAAGAAAGAGAGAAAAAAGGAAAGAAAAAGAGAGAAAAGGGGGAAGGATGAGCAAATGTGACGATAGGACCCCCTCCCCCCTCCAACCCACTCCCCTAATCAGTAGCCTAGTAAACTAATATTTCATATTTCATTTTCTAAATGAGACCAGCCCACCCAACCCCCCCCCCCTCATGCAAGGTGACCCTTCAATGACTGGACTCACTCTATACTACAGAGCATGAATGTGTTGTGCACTCATACAAAACATGTTAGAAATGTGATCCAGGGAAAAAATTAATATTTATTTTTCGGGGGCTACTTTTCAAGCTTGCCTGCATGAAATTAACACTCTAAAATTTGTTTTGCATTGAACTCTATGCAAATTTACAGGGGCTCTTTTCTGATTTTCGGGGCTCTTTTTAGCATTTCGGGGGCTAATTCGCCCCGAGCCCCCGTGTATTTTTTTCACTGATGTGATCTGGGGTTGCATGGACCTGGAAATATCCTAGCTCCAAACCAAATACGATAACCAACGGCCTTGGAGGATATCATATCCCGGACA